GGAGCCTTGACTGAGAGTTATTTCCTGACCACGACTTCAGTTTATGCATACATTAATTTATATTCACTATGCATAATGTAAGTTCTGAGGTTATTTTTGTGTATCATTTAAACATACAGGCTGAGTACTAAAACTTGTAAATGCCTCAGGCAGGAAGAATAACTACTATACCCATACCTTGTACTTATTTATGCTTCTAATCTGAAGACTAATTGTTAGTTACTAATTAAGGACTTTCATATTTGCTTGAAATTTTAAAATTAGCAAATACTGGTTACATTTAGAGCCTTAATATGCAATATATGATGATACTCAAACATTTGTGAAATATAATTTTACCATTTCTTTCCTATTAATGATTAGCTGTGGGGAAAGACATTAAATCAAAGATAATATAAATTTGACAGCTAATCTTTGCTAGTGTAAGTATTTTCCCTTGTTTAGTCTAGGTCTGTGGTGTATATATTATACATAGAAGGGAAAGAATAAGTAAACAAATAAAGTCTTTATGTATGTATGTATGTGGTATTTTAGACAGGATTTCACCATGTTGTAATTTTCTTGCATCAACCTCAGAAGTAGCTGGGACCACCAGTGTGCTCCACTACACCTAGCTTTTCTCTTTTTTCTTTTCCTTTTCTTTCCTTCCTTTCCTTCCCTTCCCTTTCTTTTCCTTTCCTTTCCTTATTTTTTTTTTTGTTTGTTTTGTTTTGTTTTGTTTTACGGTGGCCTGGAAATCAAACTCGGGGCTTCCATATGGCCTCAACCTGTCAAATAGCACAGTCCAGTGTGCTTTACAATGAATGGCCCCAAAGAGAATCTGTTTAAGTTACTGGAATGCCATCTTGTTCTCTAATAACAGGTTGACCTGACTCTCCTAATCTAGTTTATTACAGCAGACATTTTTCTGAGAACTTGCACATTAGCATTGTGCTCCATGATGTGGTTCAAAAACTTCACGATGATCACATTCTTGATTCTAAAAGCCTCCTAGACAATATTCCAAGCCTGATCAGTATTCGTTAGCAAGAACCAAAAGGAAAGTCCAGGTCTTCTGGTTCTGGTTTAATCTTCCTGTTCATAAAACTGTGCCCAGTCAGCAGGCATGCAGTATCTAACCAACCAGATATTTAAAAATATAAGAAATAAAAATGTTAAAGTTTTTATTCTGTGTGATCAGCAAAGTTATAGTCTTTAGTGCCATCTAAAATAAGATCAATCAATCAATAGAAGTACAGCACTATTCACCATATGATAGTTCACATCTGGTTCTATTATCCTCGCACTCCTCACATTGTGGGGTACAGTGGCCCTAGAGGTACTGGCTACACCTTTTTATTTAATTGCTTGCTAAGATTTTTAACAAGTACATGTTAATAAATGGAAGGTTGATTGCATCATAGAGCCTCATCTCCCAAACTTCTTTCACACACAGAAGCTGTTTTTGTCATTGCTTGTAGGGGATTTTCAGGCTCTTTGAGGGAATTGGAAGGGTTGGGAGAGGAGAAGAATGGGATGGTAAATCAATGGATTGATTGTACTGGGTTATTGTGAGAGTACCTGATAGATACGCCAAATGAAAGGTATAACAAACAGTGACTCCAGACAAATCTTTGACTCTGTTAAATGATAACTTAGGACACTGAAAAGTTTACACAATTATTTACAAAAACTTCATAAAGTGTAATTATACTTTTAAAGATATTAATGGGCCTTAATTCTAATTTTTGGCAAAATGAGAATGGTTCTAATATCAAGTGACAGAGATTTTTTTAGAACCATAAAACGTAATCTCTACACAACGCCAGCAGAGGGTGCAGTGATTATGTTCCTACTCCCACATGGCTGACCGGAGTTCAAGTCCCAGACCCAGGGGCTTGAAAATCATGCCAGGCTAATGTGTGTACCTGCCCAAGGCCTCAGGAGGAGAATGGAGAAGAAGAGATTATAAGATGGCCATCGCCCCTGGGGGGTGATTTCTCACTTTCCCTCTCACCATCTCTGTCTCTCACTCTGGTGAGTGCACACACTCCCAGATAAAAACTTCTAAAAAAAAAAGAAGAGTAATCTCTACCCTTAATAAGGTAATGGAGAGCCTAGAACTCAATATATATAAAAATGTACAAGTAAGGATAGAATTACCGTAATCAGTATTCATTTCCATTGTTCAATCACAGTTTCAGAGATTGATGTACAAATTGGACATCTTCTTGGCAATTCCTGTGTTGGACTCCTTCACATTGTAGGACCCTCTATTCAAGCTAAACCAGAAAAAGACATAAAATTGTTATTTTTTTGGCATTTTTTTAAAGAGGTTTTTGCTATAGGGTGTGCTCGTCAGAAAGAGAGAGACAGAAAGTGAGAAATCACCCCTGGGAGGCATGGCCACGCTGCAATCCCTTCTTCTCTGTTCTCCTCTCGGGATCTTGGGCATGCACACACATGCGTCCAGTGTGAGTTTAAGCCACCGGATCCAGGACTCAAACCGCAGTCGACTACATGGGAATTCAGCAACATAGTCATTATGCTAACTGCTGGTTCCATCTTTTGACATGTTTTTAACTAATTCATCAAGGCCATTGTGATATCACTCTGGTGAAACCCTTTGTATGTCTAGTTTCTTTAGTCAGCTGTGTTGAGCTTAAATTGATGCTGTGCTTCCTGGCAGCAGGGGAAAGAGGAAATCAGAGTAAATGGTACTGTATACTCATTTAATGGGACACCTTAAGCCTGTAAGAAGTGCAGGGTACTTATATGTATGCTGATATGGAACAGACTGTAGGATACATTAGTGAGTGAAGAAGCCAGACATAGACTATTACAAAGTCTCTTTTGCATAATGTATAAAACAGAAATACTTGCATGCATAGGTTTTTATAGCTATACTGATATTTACCTTAAAGTAGTGTATGCATCTAGTGTATTGTGCTTTTATATTATTTTATATTACACAAAAGAAGGCCACAATTCAATGCATCTGCAGAAACAAAATGTTTCCCTGGTTATAAATGATAAAAAAATAAGTCTAGCAAAATTTGAATTAAGAACACTTATTTTCTTACTGCAAATATAAAGGATTCTGTAAATATTTCAACTTTTTTTTTATAACTTATGATTTCCAAGAAAAGAAATTAGCCTAATAGTTATTCGTTTGTCACCTCCCCAAACAAAGCAAGTTGAATAATTTCTTTATTATGATGTATTAGAACTTCATTAAGAGGGGAGCCTTACAAATAAGTTATCATTTTTTTTTGAGGAAGATCACACTGTGCCAAATAATGAGATCTGGGAATACATTGAACAGCTTGACTTCTGCTGACTTTTACTTAAGTCTGTGAAGTGTTTTAAATTAGACTATGTTAGTATTGATGAAATGTGCACAAGGGGAAAAATAATTTAAAGACTTTGTTCCATTTCAAGAGCTAGATAAATTATATAATTAAAAAATTAAGCACTGTGACCTAGGAGTAAGGAAACAGCAACTTTCAAGTACTGTTGCAGAGTGTGGAAACTGGGACAATTCTTCTGTAAGGCAATTTGGTAATGTCTAATGAATTTACAGTGCATTTACCCACTGACCTGGCCATTACACATTCTGTAAAGAATCTGCCCCTAGATAAACTTATGAAAGTATACCAAGGGCAATCAAGTGGCATGGTGGTTTACCAAGAATCAGCCAAGTGGCATGGTTGAAGTGGCTGGACCTTGCACAGCCAACTGTGCAGTTCGAGTCATGCACCCAGTGGCTTGAGAGACACACCAGGCATGTGTGCATGCATGTTCCAAATCCTGAGAAGAGAATAGAGAAGAGGGAATTACAGTATGGTTATCTCCCCTTGGAGGTGCTTTCTCACTCTCTCTCTCTCTCTTAGGTGAATGCATGCACCCCATAGGGGAAAAAAAAAAAAGATAAAAGACATACCAGAATTGTGTGAGTGTTCACTAGAGTATTTCTGAAATAGAAAAAAGAAAAACATTACCAAAAAATAAATCTAAATATGTGACAATAGAGGAATGACTAAGTCAAATGAATATTCATTTAATGGCATACCCTAAGCCTTTAAGAAATGCAGGGCAATTACGTGTATGTGGATACATTAGTGAGTTAAGAAGCCAGAAATGGACAATTATGATGTCTCTTTTGGACAACTTATGAGACAGAAATACTTGCACATTTATGATAGGTTTATGTTTATTGTTATTTACCTTAAAGAAGTGTATGCATCTAATGTATTGTTCTTTTCTAGATTTCAAAAGTTACTATGTAAGCATTGCTTATTAGTGGGAAGTAGTCCTAGAAAGGGGTAAATTGCAAGCTGCTGTTTATTTTCATTCAGTAGCTTTCTGTAAACTTTTATCACTAGAAAGGGGTAAATTGCAAGCTGCTGTTTTTCATTCAGTAGCTTTCTGTAAAATTTTATCATAAAACCATGTATATGTTATGCTTTGACTTTTTAAACATGTCAATATGAATATTCTTAAGTAAGTCATTGTTCTCTCATTTTATAAAATTAAAAAAACGAGAATTACTATTGCACAAACTAATAAAACACTGCTGTTGAAGTTTTCAAGGTCATGAAGCAAAAGCAAACTTTAGTATACGAAGCATCAGTTTGTCAGCAAATCAATTCAGATTTTCTTTGCAATATTCTCATCACAAACAAAAGAGACAGCTCGCCTCCTACAGCCACGATCCCCTTAGTGAGAGCACACAGTTTACCTGTCTGGATGACAGCTCCGCTTGGTGCTGAATAGTAAGAGACGTATCTATCTCCCCTCTTGAGCAAGGAAGTTTAAGATACATTCGTCTTCCTAGTTTTTGGTAAGAGAACACATTATGAACCCAAAGCCTCCCTAAACAAGTGTTCACACTTAATCATTCACCTTTGATTCCCAACAAGAATAAAACATTTTTGCATACTACTCCAGGCCCCTGTATTTAACACAGCATACTCTGAAACAATAGAATGACTGTCTTCTGTTCTTTTAAATCTTTTCAGAATTGCAACTTCCAGTGAGTCCCTCGGTGTGTTTGGATCAGGGAATTCAATTAAAGCCAAGTACTTCGAGTCACCTTCTAAAAACAGGGAAGCCATATACATGGAAACCATGGGACTGGAGACGTGAACAGCTGTAAGATAATCATTTTGAATTGTTGCACCCAGTGTGCAGTTTAGGAGGCAAGAAAGAAACACAGACCAGATCTAGGGAGTTGTACATGTTTGAGTTACTAGGTTCTGTTACATAAAATTTCAGCTATCTCTTCTTAATAAAGAATGCCATCATTGACTTTCTTCTAGACTAATTCAAACCTCTCCTGCCATAGAATAAACACTTGGGTAAATTGGACTCTTATCTAGTAAGTTACATTAATGGAAATTGAATTTAAAACCTTGACAATGTGAAACTATAAAATTTTAACTTCCATTTTATACTCAAATGACATTGCCTTGGTCTATGAGTATGGCTGAATGCATTTTTTTCCCTAGCTGTTAACTTTTTTTTTTTATGGCTCCCAGGATCTAAGAAAGCATCTTCAGTGTATCAAGTTATCCAAGTTACTTTCAGGGGAAGAGTTTTAGAACATAAATAAATTATACTTAAAAAATTAAGAGATTTTAATGATCTTTTCGAAGATGCAAATACGTTTGCCTCTTCTAATTTTGGAATTGTTAGTAGTATTCTCAGCAGTTAATATTATTTATTGAAGAGTCATTTGCATCGTGGGTTAACCTAGTCTTTGAAAATTAAAATAGCACAATCTTCACTGATCAAACACAGTTATAGTTAACATGGAGAAACACAATGCAGAGAAAGTATTAGTTATACATTTTGGTGTCATTTATGATGAAAGCATATTTATTTTGCTACATTAAGCTACCGTTATCTTTCCTTTGTAGATGGAAATGTTTTCTTCTTATTCTGTTTCCTTAATTATCTGGAATAAGGGGTATTAGGTAGGTTTGAATGAATGGGGTAGTATTTTTGGCATATTCTTGGTGACCTGGCTACTATTGAAAAACTTGATATCTTTTCATGGAGAGGAAAAGACAGAGCAAACTTAGGCAGAGAGAAGAATTTCAGGAGGTGTTCCATTGCTCCTGAACTATAATCGATAGCATTTTGTTCCAACAGTACCATGAATCAAAGGTCATGGATAGTGTGACTAATTTAATTTAAGGAAAAATCTTTAAACTTTATCTAAGTAATATTTTCCCATCTATTTTTCTTTCAAAAAATTGTTTTGATGAAATATGCCATAGTGGAGAACACTTCTGGGATTTGATTCTTTCTCTGTGTCGCTGTCCACCCCCCCGGTGGTAATGCCAAAAAACAGTTGAAATTGTTTCAGGAAATTCACACACTGAAAATTGGGTCCAATGCAGGTTAGAAGAGGTTTATGAAACTTTTAGGTAATTTGCTAAATTCCATACTTAACCCTAAATTGTTTTTTTTTTAGGAATGAAACATCAGTCCTTGCTCCACATGAAACAGTCTTTCGAACTGAAGATTTATCTGTGATTCTTAAAGCCTATGTGTTGGTGACATCCTTAACCCCTTTACGTGCATTCATTCATTCAACTGGCACGGTTTGGAATCCACCAAAGAAAAAACGGTTCACTGTCAAGGTAAAGGCTCCGTTGCAGCTGTTATTTCACACAAAGTACACTGAAGTGAGTTGGGCTGCCATTCTCCGACCTTTATGGTTATCAAATCCCATTGAACAAAGATTGCAATTTTTTATTGCTGCAAGCAAGAGATTTTCATTTAATAGGTGCACGTTCAAAAATGAACTAGAAACAGCTTAATTCACTAGAGATCACAAGGGCTATTTTTTTTTTCCTCTCAACTCATCATTTTAGTTCAATTCTTTGACCTATGACAGAGGTAGTTCTCAGCTGTACTCTGCTTTTCTTGACTTTCCAAACTTATTCAAGAAAAATATAGTCAACACAACAAAGGAAAATGTAATTTCACCCTTCTGCTTTTGGCTTCATCCTTAGGAAGGCTAAGGCCTGTTTCATTACAACAGGCAATACAGAATATTTGCTGAGTAGAAAATAAAGCTCTCAAGTGTGTCTAATATAGTAAGCCATGACATAAAGGATAATGCTGTTTTCAGTGAAGACCTTAACAATGGCCCCAGAAAGATTAGTTATAAAAGGTAGCTCATGTTAACTTGGTTGTAAATAAAGCCTAGTGACAGTAATTTGTAATTACTGATTATCTGTAATTATCAAGGATTCTTGATTTTACAGTAATAATTGTTCAGAGCACAGATAAGAAGAAATGGGGGAACTAGCAGTTGGCATAATGGCTATGTCTCTGGACTCTCATATAGTCAACTGTGGTCTGAGTCCCGGACCCAATGGTTTAAACTCACTCCGGGTACGTGTGCATGTGTGCCCAAGATCTCGAGAGGAGAATGGAGGAGAAGGGATTGTGGTATGGCTATCCTCCGTGGGGAAGGATGGATTTCTCACTTTCTGTCTGTCTCTCTCCCTCTCTCTCTTTCTGGTAAGCACACATACCCTGTAGCAAAAAATAAAATAAAATAAAATAAACTCAAAAGAAGAGAAAAAAGAAATGGGAAGAAAGAGAATGTACAAGTGGCTCTCATAGTTTGAAGAGATTTAAAGCTGTCTGAATATGGATTTTATTAATCATTTATTTTACATATATTGCATTTTGAATCCTGGAAAAATTTCCCAATGGCAAGAAAAATTTTAATGATCATTTAAATTTTGTCACTTAAAACCACATATGCAGATGGAGTCAGCAAGTAGCGTGGTGGTTAGAGGCACTGGATTTCCACATGGCTGACCGCAGTTCAAGTCCCAGACATGGTGGCTTGCTTTCTCACTTTTCTTTCTCTCTCTCTCTGGGCAATTAAAAAAAATAATAACAACACATGAACTTAAATAAATAAATTTTTTTTTTAAAAAACCACACATTTGCAGTATCAAGATATGTAGGTTTTAAATACCTGGTAAAACAGATAGTGGTACTTTTTATGAAGCAGTATTAATAGTAAGTGTACTGGGACCAGCAGTTAGCATAATGACTGTGTCACTGAACTCCCATGTAGTGGACTGCAGTTCAACTCCTGGACCCAGCTTAAACTCGTGCTGGGTGCGTGTGCGTGCGTGCCCAAGATCCTGAGGAGAATGGAGGACAAGGGATTGTGGCGTGGTCATCCCCCCTGGGGGGGGGTGAGTTCTCGCTTTCTGTCTATCTCTGTCTTTCTGGTGAGCACAGGCACCCTATAGCAAAAACCTCTCAAAATAAATAAATAAATAAATAAATAAATAGTAGTAGTTTACTAAGGTTGCCCTCTTTCAATATTTTTATGACTTAATTATTTATTTATTTTTTTGCCATAGGGCGCATGCGTACTAAGGTTGCCCTCTTTCAATATTTTTATGATTTAATTATTTATTTATTTTTTTTGCCATAGGGCGCATGCGCTTGCCTGAGAGAGACAGAGGTACTGAGAGAGGGAAAGTGAGAACTCATCCCTCAACCCTGTTAATTATCTGGAATAAGGGGTATTAGGTAGGTTTGAATGAATGGGGTAGTATTTTTGGCATATTCTTGGTGACCTGGCTACTATTGAAAAACTTGATATCTTTTCATGGAGAGGAAAAGACAGAGCAAACTTAGGCAGAGAGAAGAATTTCAGGAGGTGTTCCATTGCTCCTGAACTATAATCGATAGCATTTTGTTCCAACAGTACCATGAATCAAAGGTCATGGATAGTGTGACTAATTTAATTTAAGGAAAAATCTTTAAACTTTATCTAAGTAATATTTTCCCATCTATTTTTCTTTCAAAAAATTGTTTTGATGAAATATGCCATAGTGGAGAACACTTCTGGGATTTGATTCTTTCTCTGTGTCGCTGTCCACCCCCCCGGTGGTAATGCCAAAAAACAGTTGAAATTGTTTCAGGAAATTCACACACTGAAAATTGGGTCCAATGCAGGTTAGAAGAGGTTTATGAAACTTTTAGGTAATTTGCTAAATTCCATACTTAACCCTAAATTGTTTTTTTTTTAGGAATGAAACATCAGTCCTTGCTCCACATGAAACAGTCTTTCGAACTGAAGATTTATCTGTGATTCTTAAAGCCTATGTGTTGGTGACATCCTTAACCCCTTTACGTGCATTCATTCATTCAACTGGCACGGTTTGGAATCCACCAAAGAAAAAACGGTTCACTGTCAAGGTAAAGGCTCCGTTGCAGCTGTTATTTCACACAAAGTACACTGAAGTGAGTTGGGCTGCCATTCTCCGACCTTTATGGTTATCAAATCCCATTGAACAAAGATTGCAATTTTTTATTGCTGCAAGCAAGAGATTTTCATTTAATAGGTGCACGTTCAAAAATGAACTAGAAACAGCTTAATTCACTAGAGATCACAAGGGCTATTTTTTTTTTCCTCTCAACTCATCATTTTAGTTCAATTCTTTGACCTATGACAGAGGTAGTTCTCAGCTGTACTCTGCTTTTCTTGACTTTCCAAACTTATTCAAGAAAAATATAGTCAACACAACAAAGGAAAATGTAATTTCACCCTTCTGCTTTTGGCTTCATCCTTAGGAAGGCTAAGGCCTGTTTCATTACAACAGGCAATACAGAATATTTGCTGAGTAGAAAATAAAGCTCTCAAGTGTGTCTAATATAGTAAGCCATGACATAAAGGATAATGCTGTTTTCAGTGAAGACCTTAACAATGGCCCCAGAAAGATTAGTTATAAAAGGTAGCTCATGTTAACTTGGTTGTAAATAAAGCCTAGTGACAGTAATTTGTAATTACTGATTATCTGTAATTATCAAGGATTCTTGATTTTACAGTAATAATTGTTCAGAGCACAGATAAGAAGAAATGGGGGAACTAGCAGTTGGCATAATGGCTATGTCTCTGGACTCTCATATAGTCAACTGTGGTCTGAGTCCCGGACCCAATGGTTTAAACTCACTCCGGGTACGTGTGCATGTGTGCCCAAGATCTCGAGAGGAGAATGGAGGAGAAGGGATTGTGGTATGGCTATCCTCCGTGGGGAAGGATGGATTTCTCACTTTCTGTCTGTCTCTCTCCCTCTCTCTCTTTCTGGTAAGCACACATACCCTGTAGCAAAAAATAAAATAAAATAAAATAAACTCAAAAGAAGAGAAAAAAGAAATGGGAAGAAAGAGAATGTACAAGTGGCTCTCATAGTTTGAAGAGATTTAAAGCTGTCTGAATATGGATTTTATTAATCATTTATTTTACATATATTGCATTTTGAATCCTGGAAAAATTTCCCAATGGCAAGAAAAATTTTAATGATCATTTAAATTTTGTCACTTAAAACCACATATGCAGATGGAGTCAGCAAGTAGCGTGGTGGTTAGAGGCACTGGATTTCCACATGGCTGACCGCAGTTCAAGTCCCAGACATGGTGGCTTGCTTTCTCACTTTTCTTTCTCTCTCTCTCTGGGCAATTAAAAAAAATAATAACAACACATGAACTTAAATAAATAAATTTTTTTTTTAAAAAACCACACATTTGCAGTATCAAGATATGTAGGTTTTAAATACCTGGTAAAACAGATAGTGGTACTTTTTATGAAGCAGTATTAATAGTAAGTGTACTGGGACCAGCAGTTAGCATAATGACTGTGTCACTGAACTCCCATGTAGTGGACTGCAGTTCAACTCCTGGACCCAGCTTAAACTCGTGCTGGGTGCGTGTGCGTGCGTGCCCAAGATCCTGAGGAGAATGGAGGACAAGGGATTGTGGCGTGGTCATCCCCCCTGGGGGGGGGTGAGTTCTCGCTTTCTGTCTATCTCTGTCTTTCTGGTGAGCACAGGCACCCTATAGCAAAAACCTCTCAAAATAAATAAATAAATAAATAAATAAATAGTAGTAGTTTACTAAGGTTGCCCTCTTTCAATATTTTTATGATTTAATTATTTATTTATTTTTTTTGCCATAGGGCGCATGCGCTTGCCTGAGAGAGACAGAGGTACTGAGAGAGGGAAAGTGAGAACTCATCCCTCAACCCTGCAGGGGATGGCCACACCACAGTTCCTTCTCCTCCATTCTCCATTCTCCTCTCAGGATTTTGGGCATGCACACACATGTGCCCAGAATGTTTTTCAAGCCATCAGGTCTGGAACTCGAACTGCATAGTTGGCCAGATGGGATCCAGTGCCCGCTGACCCCTGCCTCCTTTAATCTTAAAAACAATTATCCTTTCTCAATTACATCCAAATCCCTGGTTTTCAACTAATTATGAAAAAGCGGGCTCTAATTTGATTTGTCTTTCAGGTTATCTCCCATGGATTTTTATAGTGGATATTTAAAAATTCCCTAATTTTCATGAACTATTCCCATTTTTTCCCTCTCTATGATGCTAAATTGTATTTAATTACTATTTGGCCATGTTTGTCCTATAGAAAATTGTTATTTCATAAGTTTCAACGTGCTCGTCGGCACTTTGGTACTGAGAAATGACACTCATATTCTTCAAATCGTGTCATGCTACTCCCACCTTCAACAAATAACTATGAGCACAGGACAAAAACTGTCCTCTGGTGGGACTGACATCAGTCTGCAATTTCCTTTTCTGCCTATTTAG